GAAATTTTCATCATGCTGACAAAGAAAACCCGCGTTGCTGGGTTGGAACTTGGAGCCTTGCTGTCTTCGAGCCTTCGCTCGCACATGGCACCAGCGAATCGCGCTGTGATGGCGATCACAAGTGCGTACCCAAACCTATTCGCCAAGAGAACCTGGCACCAGACCAAGCCGCACTTGACTTCTGTGTTCGGCATGAGACCGAAGATACTCGCAAAACGAAACATACCAAACCAGAGTGCATCTGGCCCGGAGCACGCATGCACAGTTCCATCCATACCAAGCCAGTGCTTTGGTAGCCTTCTCACGCACAACACAGTACACAAACCCAGCCCAGGGACAGACGAAACGAAGCCATACGAGAAAGTTCGGAGGTTTGAACAGCCGTCGATCTAACGCGAACGTCAGCCCCAGTGGTCGGTCGGCTTGGTGGTGGGCCTGGGCCGCGGCGCTGGTCGAGGGGCATCATTGGTGGTGACGAGCAAATCACAAAACTATTCAGAACGGTGATCACGTTTTCAGAACGGTACTTTTGCGTGTCAGATCGGTAGTGACACAACATATCTTGGGGCCTCCTGGCACACCAATGTCAACGAGAACACGTCACACTCACACACCATCGCATCACACGAACAACCGACGGGGCGTGAAGCACACATGCGCACGTGATCAACAACATCCTCCCCCAGCTCATCTGGATTCTGGATTGTGTTGTGATCGTGCTTCTATTTCCTCCACACCCCCACCAGCCAGACCTCGCGTGGTAGGGATCAATTACAAAACGGTCTAGTGCGTTAAAACATGGGTATTTCGACTTGAACCACCCTGCAGGAGGCACACCTAGTGCCCTAATCCACCTTCCTCTGTTGGCGGTTGTGGCGTGTACTAGTCTAGCTTCCCAGAAATCCAACTTAGTTGACATGTCCAATCCAAGATACCTGCCAGCGTGTTTTACAGCCTGCATTGCCTTCCTCCCTCCCACTCCCACGAGCAGTTGGACAATTGTTGTGTCCAAGCAAATGATTGAGCTCGGAGCTCGTTTTGATAGAAATCTCGTCGGCATAACTTAGATCACACAGCCAAACCTCGACCTCGATCACCAAGCTAAACGACAGTGTGTTTTTAGACCGCTCACACCGCATCTGTTCAGCTAACTCACGTTCAATCAACATTAATCACCCTATTTGCCTCGTCTACCTGATTCTTCTGCGCGGTGCCTGCGGAAACAAGCGAAACTAAACGGCGTCATAGTGCGGCGAAGAATCGCGGCATCGCATCTCCCTTCGGAGCATCGTGTAACCATTGTGTAACCATCGGTGCTGCGCGGTCACCGTTTACGTAACCATGAGCTGCTCGACTCATCGCGCAACGGAGCATACGACGACAGAGCGGGTCTTGCAACACGTAACCGCTGCGATGGCCCAGGTTACCAGCAGGCTGCGGTTCGCACGCGCAGCTTTTCCAGCCGACTCCTCGCTTTGTGAATGGATCCCTGGAAATTTACTTGGAGCCGCTCGATAAAGGCACAACCGATACAAGCACCCTTGAAGCCACCCGTGTGCGTGTACTGGGCTCACGACACGGCTCCGTTCGTCGACAACGGATCGTTAACTTTGACAGAAACATCGTCGAAGAAGCTAACGTGAAGTCCAGTGACGGCTGGAGTAGTCGGCGCCTGGAGATTCTCGGGTCGCGAAACGGAACCCCGCGACGCCAAGTAGGGTCAGGAGGTATTGCGAAGGGCACGCTAGGAGGGACGTGCGTGGGGGGCTCGGTTCTCGTTAGTGCTGGCTCGAAAGAAGGCAACGTGGGGTCAGATTACTTGCCATCTTTACGCTCAATCTAGGTTTCTTGTACAATCATTTTTTAACATTACCAATTTATTGTTGACTATATTTTGTTTAGTGAAGTAACGTTGCTATAAGGCAAGATTATTTGTGTTGTATAAATGCGAAAGTGGACGAAATTTCATGTAGTTATACGCACTGTATGTCCACGGTACCAAATGTCGACTTACAGGGAGTTCCGGTCAAGGCACCGTCAACATCAGGACCGAACACTGTGCAACTGGGAGAGGGTTTCTGGAAGAGAGAGGGTCTCTGGGATTTTTACTGGGAGGAACTATGGGTGCCTCGAGTCGAGAGGCCTGAGGCGAGTTATGGCGACTAGCAGAAAAAGTGGCAGATCTGGGAACAGCTGCTGCTGCTGCTGCTCAGTTAGGATTTTACCCTGAATCCTGCTGATTCTGTCCTGCTTCGGAAACGCGACCAGCATAGCTCATACAACTGGGCCTCTCGGTTTGTGACTTCGCACATCTAGAAAGTCGAGAGGAAAACCGTTTTTTGTTTCCGACCGTAGGCCTAGTAAAAGCACCCTACGAACGGCAGACTCGGTCGCGCAAGCTGTAATGTACAGTACACGCAAGCATCCAAAAAGCTCGGGTGATTTTTATGTCAGATAATTTGAGCCTCAGGCCACCAGCAGCACCCTGGGTTCAGGAATCAGGAATCAGATGCGGGACGAGAACACCGCTCGCCTGTCTGCAACTGCTTTATCACATCTACGGTAGTAGGAGCCTCCCTATTTCCCGAGACATTGGATAACTCTCGCGTCAGAATCAGACTGATGCATTTCGGTGGGTGGGTCTGCACGCCAACTGAAGTAGGAGTCCATGACGTCATCCCCTGCATTCCCATGCGTCATCAGTCGCGGTCGCGTTGGGTTCGCCGCTTGTCCCCAAGAAAATCTCGAGGCCAGCGTACATTCTATGTAAGCGACGACTTCGCTCTGCACTACATAACGACTTTTCCTTCTCGCAAAATCTGAGGACCCGCAAAGCTGCTTGTAGTAGAGATTCCAAGAGCCTCTTGCAACCCTGAGCCTGAGCCTGGGAAACCCGAGCCTCGTTCCAGACCCTCAGCAGCCCTCTGAGGAGCTTCAACGACAAAGGGCCATGGCTCACCTATCCTGTGCTGCGAAAGCGTCATCCCTCAGCAGTGCAAGGTCGCGCTTCCCCAAGTCCTTCTCAACCGGCTCCGTGGTTCACGGAACTGCCGCATCATCATCGTCTGATGTGTCGGCTTCCGTATTGTTCTCGCCTGCGTCCCCCGTCGCTTCCCCGCTCGCTTCCCCGCTCGCTTCTCCGCTCGCCGCTTCAGCGGCTCGTAGTCACTCGCCTTTCGCGTCTACAGTGGCCTCCCCGCGGTTGTCCCCCTCGCGCTACAATCACGCCCGTTATCTGCATGAATACCGTGGTGGTGACATGGCGTCTGAGTATGAGCACGACGCACCAGAGGCTCCCTCGGCTATTCCACAAGACAGGATGCGAACCCCTGCTGCTGTTTCCATCGCTACTGGGGAGTTTGTTAGGGCTTTAATGCCGAAAGTGCCTATGGTGAAGCTGTCAAGCCGAGCTAGCAGTGAATTTCAAGACATTCTTGATGAGGCTACTTTAATGGAGTACAATTCTGGCGCTGAATTCCGAGAGGACGGTTTTGAGGAGCAGCATGGTACCTGGTGCTTTAATGAACTTGTCAGTCGGCATTTCGAAGACATGCCGTCAGACAGTGACGATGACGAAGACTGTATCGAGGATAAGAGGGCCTCTCAAGCGCGGATAGAGGCCATCAGGCTGGTGTTCTTGGGATCACGGCTTGGATCTGTTCACCTTCAGCCAGCTGACCTGCACTAATTTGGGCAGGACGCCAAAACGCTGCTGCTACCAACAAAACCTAGAGGGGTGGGACCATTAATATAAAGTATAGCTGATAAAAAACTGACTGGCCGTCCTACACAGCGGAGCATGCGGATTGATGGGCTCCAGGCAAAATGCCATTCTTTCAGTATGGAAATGTTGCAGCTGCATTGGGCATGGATGTTGAAAGTTGGCATGTAAATTTTGTACAGTGCTTTTTACTGATTTTTCTACATAAATGCTCTCTCACAAGGGCACTCGGTGCAGCTCCACAAAATTCAGATAATGTCCTAATTACCAGAGAGATTAAAAGTAGTTTTCGAAGTCTTGATATTGAGGATCAACACAAGAGCCGAACATGTACAGCTGGAAGGTGGGCACTCGGGCCTGAGGTTGGAAAGCAACGGAGGGCCATTCCGTGCCGTTCTCGAGTTTTTTTATTTAAGCAGCTCGTCATCACAGTGCGGATGTGTTAGATCGGAACTCGGTTACGACCGTGGGTGGTATTTATGCATTTTAATGTACCTTCACCCCCTTCTAAAAAAAACAAAAATTAGATCCGAACTGCCCCAACTTCGTGTTACACCTGACGCGGAATACGCCCTCAACTATGTTATCAGGTTGTTTGCACTGCAGGTACTTTGACTGGTGGGAGAGCGACTGCTGAAACCCACCTTGTGTCATCTGACTTGATGAGCGCTCTTGGTGGCGCGGCTGTCCGTAACATAGGTACTGTACATCGTGCCCCTTCTTCACAGGTCTACTGTAATAGGGGCCCCCCAAACTGTACGTTGTCCCCCTTGTGCATTCAAGGTCCTGCGGCCTGCCCCCTGTGCATTCAAGGTTGTACCCCTTTATTTCATGCATTAGGCTTCCTGTAGCGCAGAGAGGAGGGCGGTGGGCAAGAGGAGGATCCCCTCACTTCCGATTGCAGTGGAGGTCGACCAACTTCTCCGCCCGCCACTGGACGGGATCAGATGTCCTTTTCCGCACCAAGGGTGTCTCTTAGGGCCTCGCGCGAGACGCCTCGCCACGTGGCCAAGCTGATTTCTAAATTGGGTAATGACATCCAGATTCGAGCTGTGGCGCGATACTGCTACGTCAGGCCTAGATAATCTCGCATGGACGCATCCAACCGCAGCGCCACGTGCAAAAAGTGGATGTTTCGGTCAGGCTCGGCGCGCCATGACTGCAGTAGTAGAGTAGACGGATCGAAGATCCGCCGTCCGACGGAGTCCATCCAGTGCCATTCGAAACAGCTGTCTAAGGCTGGTGGTGGTGCACTGTCGAAGTGCGTGTGTGACACGTTCCGTTCCGAGATGAGTCATGATCAGTAAAAATGACGTGTGACACGCCGCCCACTTAGCCACAGGCCAACATGGAATCATTGTCGGCCAGGAAAAGCGACTATGATACCTAGTAGGAAGCCGCTTTCCTAAGAAGTTGCACCTCTTTCCCGCGTCGGACTCACCCTATGAAGCGCCGCACTTCGTAGGAAGTTGTGCACTGCGCGGAAGTTGAGTGGCGCAAGTTACTTCGACGCGCGATGGATGAGGTTGTTGGATAACGTAGGATGGGGTTGGATGAGGTTGCACGCTTCCCAGGATGTGTATATAGCGGCACGTGCCCTCCACATTCCAGCAGGCACCTTCGTTTCGCAAACTCACCCTCCCTCACAACCTGTCTGGAACCAATTCGCCGTCGTTCCAGAAGTTTCAGAACCCCACCAAGGTTCAGAACCCCACTCGCTCCTCCCCCCCCCCCCCCCCCCTTTCGCTGTGAAGCCTCATCACGCCAGTAACACTCATCGTCACAGCCGTGCGGAGACGAAGCGTTCACCGCACGTCATGGCTCGCGTCTCCTGCCGTGCGGTGAACGCTTTGTCTCTCAGCAGCGCCGCGCGCCTGCCGCTTTTCCCCAAGTCCTTCTCGACCGGCTCCGTGGGCCACGGAGCTTGGACTAGCTCCGGAGATCTGTCATCCGCTGTGCTGCTGTACCCAATCGCTTCCCCGCTCGCTTCCCCGCTCGCTTCCCCGCTCGCTTCCCCGCTCGCTTCCCCACTCGCCGCCAGCGCTTCCCGCGGCGGCGCTTCCACATTCGGCGCTTCCCCATGCGGCGCTTCCCCACGCGGCGCTTCCCCACGCGGCGCTTCCCCGCTCACCGCTTCCGCCGCCAACTCGCCCCTCGCGTCTGTAGCAGCGTCCCCGCGGTTCCGCTCGCGCTTCGATCACACTCGTTATCTGCACAACTATTATGGTGACGTGTGCGCGGTGTATGAAAATGACTCGCCAGGGCCTTTCAACACGCGGCGTATGATGATGTCACCTGAGGGGATGCGGCGAAGCTCCGCTGTTTCCATCGCTACTGCGGAGATTGTTCGAGTGTTCATGCCGAAACTTGATGTGCCTATAATGACGCGTATGGAATTTGAAGGCGCGCTTGGCGAGGCTGCTCCTATCGAGTACGATTCTCGCGTTGGATCCAGAAATGAGGATTTCGAGGAGCATCATGGGAGCTTTGCTTATTATGGGATTGTCAGTCAGCATGTTGAACCTATGCCGTCGGACAGTGACGACGAGGACTATAACGAGGATAAGCGGGCCTCTCAGGCACGCATAGAGGCCAGCAGGCTCGTTCTCTTGGGATCACGGCTTGGATCCGTTCGCAAACTTGTCAGTCCGTATGTTGAAGCGACTCTGCCGTCAGACAGTGACGAGGACTATAACGAGGATACAAGGGGCTCTCAGGCGCGCATAGAGGCCACCAGACTGGCTCTCTTGGGCTCGCGGCTTGGATCTGCTCGTTTTCAGCCAGCTGACCTAGTCGGAGTGAACCACGACACCTAATAGTTCCCCCTCCTCACCAACGAACTGCTGTGGCAATACCCGTTAGTACCTGACAAGGAGGCTTTTGGGCCTGGTTTGACCCCCAGAGTTGACCCACCAAACAAACGCGTAAGCCCTGCCAAACCCCTTTCCTGTTCTGGGATCGAGCGAGGGGGGAAGAGAGCAAGGCTTCATGCGATTTGAGAAAATGTGGTACAGTTGTCTTTCCTTTTGTGTGCGACGCTATAGATGTATATCTGGTTCAAAAAAGAAAATATATTTGTAATTAAAAACGGTAGTTAGTAGTTATGAGTCGTGTATGTATTTTTTCAAAGTCTGTATAGTTTTATCTGAATAATGGAGGATATTTTTTTATAAAAGTTCGTCTAAACTTTAGATAAAAGTCTCATGCTTGGAATCAGAACAGAGAGGGATGGTCTAAGTAGAATCTGAGGTACAAAGCATAGCCCAAAATAGAATCTGTTTGTCCACTGCTAGCGAACCGAAGTGTGATTCTCCTCGATAAGAACACCGCTTGGGAAAGCGTCAACCTCACATTGGTTGTTTCGAGGCGCGAGCTTCTGTACCCCCAGACATTGGCGGGAGTTTTCAAATTCCCCTGAGGTTTTGACAGCTTCAGGCCAAGGCGCCTGACGCTCGAATCACCCAATCTGGTTCGGAGCTCCATCTGAACAGAGATTCCCTCGCCCCAGCTGGTCTGGCCTGAACCTGAACCGCGTCTGCCCTGCTTGGTTTCTCTGCCTCCTGAATTCCTGAATTCCTGAATTCCTGATTCCTCCGAGGAACCACGCTGGGTGTGTCCAGCGCGTACGTTTCATTGCGGTTGGGTGAGTTGCCTCACGTGTCAGAAGGATCAATAACGAATCTAAAACGGTTGGATTTGACCAGAAACGTACCCGATGCACACGTCCAGACCGGAATGGTTTCACTCACTGCCGTGTCCTGATTCCTGAGTGGTGATTGCCTTGTTCCTCCGAACCTCCAAGTCTTGGATGGTGTTCTCCTGCATTCCCCGAGAATTGCTTCCTGCTTCCTGAGTCATGAATCCTGAGTCCTGAATCCTGAAACTCTTGAGTCCTGCTTCTTCATGATTCCTGATGCCTGAAGAGAAATGTGGTAATTCCTGAAACACACACACACAGAGATAGCAACTGTAGAACTTGTAGAACTTTCTTGCACAGAGCTCTTGTAGAACTTTCTGGCGGTTTACTCTGTACGGGTGTGTAGCAACGCCAGCACATCAGTTATTCATCCGAGGCCGTTTAGATCAGTTTGAGGACAGCGGCGAGGTAGACAACAGCTGGTGGATAGTCGGTTTAAGCGTAATGATTTTTTAGACGCTACACTTTATTAACAGACTACGAAGTCCACCTCTGGCGGATTGCATATACTTTACGAAGTAACGCAGTAACGATGGTGGAACCCTCATCCGCCACTGATGAGAACTACTGCGAGACTGAAAAGGCCGAGCATCAAACCACCACCTTCAACAATAACGGCTTCCTCCTGTCCGTGTCGGAAATTCACACTCCGCTAAGCAAACGCGAGACCAACAGCGACATCCATTTCCGACCCTCCGCCTTCGCGTCGTCGCTTCGGGACACGAGTCAATCGAACCACAAATTCCATCCTGGCAGCGCCACGAATCACAGATTCCATCCCGGAAGCGCTGCTCCTTACGGCAGCGCTGCTCCTTATGGAAGCGCTTCTCACGGAGGCCACGGGAGCCATGGAGGTTACGGAAGCTACGGAACGCCATCGCACACCCGAGGAGGAGGGACGAGGATTCGGCAGTCGCCGGCGGTGCAGAGGAAGGATATGCTAGCGATGATGGAAGCGAGGGACTTAGCGGAACGAACGGCCAAGGCGATTTTCGAGGAGAAACAAGCCCTTGAGGTGCCATCACCATTTTGCGGTCGTTCAACGTCTTACCTTCTGGAATTATCTCAAAACTCTTGGCTGCGACGGTCGAAATTACGAACGTTAATTTCGTCTGGAAATGTATATTGACGAATGGCTTCAAAATCTGATTTTGCGTTTTTCTTCTCTTGGGTGGGTGTTTCTTTTTCTGTATTCCTGCAGGCGGAGCATGAGCGGTTATCGGAGGAGTACGAGGAGAAGGAGGTGGAGCTGGAGGCGGCTATGGCTGCCAGGGACGCGGAGGTCAGCCGACGGAAACAACTGGAGGTTCGTTTCATACAAACGACAAGCTTGCAATGATCTTGACACGACACCTGGTCATCAGATGGCACACTGTCGCGCTGCTGTTGGCCCTCCGCTAGGACTTGCTCCGATTTCGAATATTTCGCTGTATGCATTTCGCTCATCCATGAGATATTTCGTGCGAGCCATGTTGAAGTGACCCCTCCTTGCACCCCCTTTTTTGCTTCCCTCTCATCGACTCCCGCAGGCGGCCTTGGCAGTGGCGGAGGGGAAGGACGGCGGCGGATGGAGGCAGAGGGAGCAGCGATTGCAAGAGCAGGTGCACGAGCTCAAGCGAGAGGCGACTGGGCTAAAGCGAGAGCTGGAAGAGGCGAAATGGCGCGAAGACGCCATGACGGAGAAGTTACAGGGTTACCAGACGATGCTTGAGGAGGTATGGTTGCGAGAGGTGCGTTAAGGGTCGACTCAGTGGGTGATTTTATTCAATCGAGTCAAGGATCAGGCGGGAAGCCGCAGGACTGAATTTTGGGCAGGGGTGGGTCTGGGCTCGACTGCATCGGTAAATTTAGAGGTGAGTCAAAGATCAGGTGGGAGGCGGCGGGGCTAAAACGAGGGGTGGAGCAGGCGAAATGGCGCGAAGACGCCATGACGGAGAAGCTACACGGCTACCAGAGCAAGCTTGAGGAGGTATGATTGGGGTAGGCACAAGAGTATGACGGGTCTAAGTGCTCGCTATGGTCTGATGGCAACATGAAGGCTTGCAGATATACCAAACGTTCCGTGCCTACCCCGTGGGCACCCGTGTCTGTAGTTCTCCCATGGGTGTCTTGTGCTCAAGATCTTTAGCCACGTTGATGCCCTCTGATTGGGAGTTACCTGCATGAAGGAAGTGCGACTTTTCTCCTAGCGTGGCTGAGCCGACCAAAAACTCACCTAGTTCACCAGCGGCGTTGATGCCCTCTGATTGGGAGCCACCTGGATGAAGGGAAGTACAACTTTTCTCCTGGAGACTCGCCAGTCACTCGTTGATTGAGCAGACTGATTGAGCAGATTCACCAAATCGCTTTCCGCCTCTGCACTCCCCCGCCCCCCCCCTCCCCCCCCCTCCCCCGCCCAACCCCTCCTCCAGGCCACTGCTCGGAGTCGCAAGTAGGAGGCAGCAGAGAGGGAGCTGGGCGAGGCGAAGGAGAAGATGACTCGGTGCAGGCTCTTCTCCTTGCTCGCATCACCAACCACCACCTCCCCCCCTCCCCTCCCCCTCCCCCGCCCGACCCCTCCTCCAGGCAACTGCTCGGAGTCACATGTAGGAGTCAACAAAGAGGGAGCTGGGCGAGGCGAGGTGAAGGAGCAGTTGGCTCGGCTGGAGTCCTCTCTACTCGTATGCATCACCAACCACCGCAATCCACCCCCCTGTATTCCCAACACGTCCGTTTCCCCCAGGGCGCTGCTCGGAGTCGCAAGTAGGGGGCAACAGAGAGGGAGCTGGGCGAGGCGAGGCTCGGCTGCAGACCCCTCTACTCGTATGCATCACCAACCACCGCAATCCAACCCCTTGTATTCCCAACCAACCTACCCCAGGCTTGTATTCCTCTGCTCGGAATGTCAGGTCGGAGGCGGCAGAGAGGGAGCTGGGCGAGGCGAAGGAGCAGTTGGCTCGGCTGGAGTCCTCTCTACTCGCATGCATGCATTACCAACCACCGCAATCCACCCCCCTGTATTCCCAACACGTCCTTTTCCCCCAGGGCGCTGCTCGGAGTCTCAGGTCGGAGGCGGCAGAGAGGGAGCTGGGCGAGGCGAAGGAGACGATAGCTCGGCTGGAGACCCAGCAGCGGCGCCTGCCGCACCTGGAGAAGCAGCTGCAGGTGAGTCTTTAACGGTATAAGGCGAATACTCAACGGTATTTGGAGAACCTAGCATCCTGCTGAAGCAGTTCCTCCCGAAGTAGGAGATGGCTCGGCTAGAGACCCAGCAGCGGCGCCTGCCGCACCTGGAGAAGCAGCTGCAGGTGAGACCTTCATTGGAATGGACCAAAGCACCTCTCTGAAGCAGGCATGGGTTAGCTCCTCCCGAAGCAGGAGATGGCTGGGCTGGAGGTGCACCAGCGGCGCGCCTGCCGCACCTGGAGAAGCAGCTGCAGGTGAGTCTTTAACTGTATAAGGCGAATACTCGACCGAAGCAGGAGATGGCTTGACTGGAGACCTAGCAGCGGCGACTGCCGCACCTGGAGAAGCCGCTTCAGGTGAGGCCTTGATTGGAATGGTCCAACGCACATCTCTAACGCAGGGTTGGGCTATTTCCTCCTGAAGGAGCAGCTGGCTTGGCTGGAGACCCAGCAGCGGCGCCTGCCACACCCAGAGAAGCAGCTGCAGGTGAGAATCTTTAACTGTATAAGGCGAATACTCAACGGTATTTGGAGAACCTAGCATCCTGCTGAAGCAGTTCCTCCCGAAGTAGGAGATGGTTCGGACCAAAGCACCTCTCTGAAGCAGGCGTGGGCTGGTTGTGCTGCTGAGCTGATGGCCTTGTCGCTGTGCTGCTGAGCTGATTGCCTTGTCGCTGTCCTGCTGAGCTGATGGCCTTGTCGCGGTGCTGCTGAGCTGATGGCCTTGTCGCTGTGCTGCTGAGCGGATGGCCTTGTCGCTGTGCTGCTGAGCTGATGGCCTTGTCGCTGTGCTGCTGAGCTGATGGCCTTGTCGCTGCCAAGGCCGGAGGCGAAGGCATTCCTCGCTTCATTGCTCCCTGTGCCCACCGTTTCCGTGCACCGCCCGTCCCAATTGTGGCCCTTGTTGCTTATTTCTCCTCCTGGCAGCATCTGAAGGCGGAGGTGGAGCAGTGGAGAGCCAAGGCCGAAGATATGCAGCGAGAGGCTACCGAACAGCGGACCAGAGTCAAGGTTTTGGAGGCCGAGAAGGCTGGGCTCGAACAGCTGGTGGCTGATCTGGTGAGAGCAAGGCTCTGAGCCGAGGGTTTGAGGGTTTGAGGGTTTGAGGGTTTGAGGGTCTGAGTCAAGAGGGCTTCTGACTCAAGAGGGCTTCTGAGGAAATCTCCTCGCACAAGCAGAAGACCAGAGTCAAGGTGTTGGAGGCCGAGAAGGCTAGGCTTGAAGAGCTGGTGGCTGATCTGGTGAGAGCGACAAAGTTGTGTTCGTATCGCTGCAAGTGCATGATAGCGGGTGTCTCCGCATGCAAATGAGTAGCTGTGCTTCTTTCTAGGATTTAGACACAGAGGTCCTTCATTCCTCCATGTTCACAGAAGCATCGAGTCATGGGCTTTACGGTGAAGGTTCGTGCACTGGCTGATCTTTGGGACCGTGCGTTTGGTAAAATCTTTAGCACACTGAGTATTGGCTAAGTGTTGGAACTTAGTAGGGGTATCAAACCACCTACTGAAGGTGGAAGTTTCTGCCACTGACTATAATGCCACTTCTTTTAGCTCCATTCGTCTGAGTGGTGTGTTCCTTTGCTGCCTCTTCCTCCTGTGGTAATCTTCTCTGCCGAACCCCCCTCAGACGTCCGGCCAAACCACTGAAGATGGGTCGGCAGTGGTCAATGCTCAGGGAGAAGGGGGACAAGTAGCAGACGGAGAGGGGGAGGAGAGAGAGGAAGAGGAGGAAGAGGAGGAGGAAGAGGAGGAGAAGCAGGAGGAGGATGAAGTGAAGCAGAGCCTGCAAGCTTGGAAGGAAACCTATGTGGAGTTTGAAGGCATCAGATCCGCTTATGATGAGCCTGCTTCTCAGGCACCTCAAAAGGTGCTTGAAGGAGCCAAAGCCCCCCTACCCACCTCCTCCTCCTCCACCTCCTCCTCCGACTCTCACCCCGCCTCCCCTGCTCCAGCCCCTTGCTCCGTGGGCCCACAGACTGGTTACCAGATAGGAACGCCAGGGGGGCCTCGGGGGCGAATGAGCTTGGCGCCAGGAAAGGAAAGTCTAGGAGGGCCAGGAAGTTTGGGCCCGGTGGGGGGTGGTGCGAGTGTGGCGAGTGTGGGGAGGGCGGGGAGTGTGGTTAATGGGCAGAACGCGGAGATGGTGAGAGTGATAAAAGGCCTGCAGTCTCAGCTGCGGGCTGCGCTGAGAGAGAGGGACGCGGGGCGGGTGGAGTGTGCGCGGCTGAGGGAGGTCGTAGCTGGGCTGAGGAGGGATCTGGGGAGGGCGGAGGGGGAGGCAAGGAAGGCGGGAGCAGAGGCTGTGGAGCTGAGAGGACAGCTGCTCAAGGCAAAGGAAGAGCAGAAAGCAGAGGTGAGGGGTTGGGGAGGGTTAGATGGATGCTGCTGCTGCTGCTTCGGTTGGCACATGCTGGTGTGCTATCGCATGCCCCATTCGATTGTTCCGAGGCCTGTCACTGCTTCATGCGCCCCCGTCTGCGCTCCTATGCCCTCCTCTTCCCGCACCAGGCGGAAGCCCTGCTGCAGGACAGGGAGCAGAGGGCGGCGCAGCTCATGGCAGCAGAGGCAGCTCGGCTGGAGGGGGAGAAGGAGAAGGCGCTCCTCTCTGCTGACCTCTCGTCCACCAGGTGAGAGAATGGCCAGGTGTGAGATGGTGTCACCGTAGGTACCCGTTACATCCACCTGTGATTGCGCTGTTTTGTTCTGAGGCACCGCACACTTTGCAGAGGGGCGGTTGACTCTTTGGAAAGAGAGCAGCTGGAGGCTGAGAGGAGCAGAGCCGTGCTCTCTGTTGACCTCTCCTCTGCCAGGTCAGTGATTTAAAGTTCTAAAGGTTAGTGGTCAGTAGTTTCCAATCCACTTAAAAAACCGGAATTATTGGCAACTGGCGACTGACTGACAGTCAACTGACTGCTTCTTGTGTTGATTCGATGCAGGGCGGAGGTGGCTCGTTTGGAGAGGAGCATGGCGGAATCAGAGAAGCTCTCCAAGCAGTGGCTGTCCTCGCTACAAGCAGAACTCGCTGCAGTCAAAATGGAGCTGGACCGGAAGGAGCAGAAGCTGGAGGAAGCTACACGCGAGTTGCACGCCAAGATCAGGAGTTATGAGAGGCTGGAACGAGCCTGGGAGAAGCAGCAGGAGGCGTGGGGCAGAGAGGCGCAGGAAGCAGCGGTTCAGCTCGTTTCAGTGGGGTTGGATCTGGCTGGGGGGCGTTTTGAGCGTAGTGAGAGTGGGAGGGAGTGGGAGGAGGAGAAGGGGGAGAGGGAGGAGGCATGGGCGGGCAGGGAGAAGGAGTGGGAGGAGGAGAAGCTGACGTGGATTAGAGAGCAGCTGACTTGGGCGGCGAAGGAGCGGGAGTGGGAGGAGGAGAGGAAGGAGCATAAGGAGCAGAGGGAGCATTTGGTATGGCTTGAAACGAGCCTGTCTCACGCAGAGCAGGAGAAGCTGGGGCTGCTGCAGTCGAAGGAGGAGGTGGAGCAGGAGAAGGAGAGAATAGAGCACGAGAGGGAGGAATTGGAGCAGGAGAAGGGGAGACTGGAAGGGTTAGTGGGGGCCCTACAGGGAGAGGCCCTGAGGATCACGCAGGAACTTCAGCTGCAGCAGCAGGAGCAGGAGGAGGAGAGGAGGAGACGGGAGGGTGTGGTAGTCTCCCTGCAGGAAGAGGCTCTGAGGCTGACGCATGAGCTGCAGCTGGTGCAGCAGGAGCAGGAGGAGGAACGGAAGCAAGCAGAGAGGGAGCAGCAGGCAGCGCAGCAGGCAACGCAAGCTCTCCAGCAAGAGTGGGAGCGGAAGGAGGAGCAGTGGACAGCTTGCGAGACGCGAATGGCTGCTAGGATTGAGTCCTTGGACGAGGAGCTCGCTGGGCTGAAGGCAGCACGCACAGCAGAGGAGCAGGCAGCGCAGCAGGTAGCGCAGGCTGTCCTGCAAGAGTGGGAGCGGAAGGAGGAGCAGTGGGTGGTTTGTGAGGCGCAAATGTCTGCACGGATTGGGTCCCTGGATAACGAGCTTGCTGGGCTGAAGGAAGCACGCACGGCAGAGCAGCTGGCATGGGAGGAGAGGGAGAGCAGCTGGAGTACTGAATCTGAAGAGCGGGGACAGAAGGTCGCGCAGATGGCTGCACGGATTGGTACCCTGGATGCGGAGATAGCTGGGTTGAAGGCAGCACGCGCAGCTGAGCAACAGGGATGGGCGGAGCGGGAGAGAACCCAGATAGAGGAGTGGGGGCAGAAGGAGGAGCAGTGGGTGACTGAGAGGAGCGAGCTGGTTGCCAAGGGCGAGGAGGCGTCTGCTCTGGCTTTGGCTCTGACTGCAGAGCTGGCTGCTGTGAAGCAGGCATATGCGGGGGACCAGCAGCAGTGGGCCGGGAAGGAACAGCAGTGGGCGGATGAGAAGAGGGAGCTGGTTGCCAAGGGAGAGGAGGTGTGTGCTCAGGCGACGGCTCTGACTGCAGAACTGGCTGTTGTAAGGCGGGCTTATGCGGGGGAGCAGCAGCAGTGGGCCGCCAAGGGGCAGGAGTGGGAGGTGCTGGCGCAGCAGCAGGTGGTGCGGCTGGGAGAGATGGAGACAGAGCTTGAGTGTGCCAGGGCAGAGAAGGCCGCTGTTGAGGAGGAATTGGAAGGCGTGAGGCAGGAAGCGGAGAAGCTGACGAGGGCCGTTGATTCCATGGAGCATGAGAAGCAGGAGCTGCTCACAGCCGTTGATTTACTGAAGGAGGAGATGGCGGCCGAGCAGGAGGGATGGAGCGTGAAGGAAGGTGAATGGAGGGAGGAGAAAAAGTTGCTGGGCGAGCAGATAGGGGAGCTTCAAGAGGGCATTGCAACCCTCCAGCAGGAGAGAACGGAGTGGGAAGGCAGGGAGAAGGAAATCAAGCATGCCATAGAATGCTTGCAGGAGGAGGAGCAGGCTTGGACGTGCAGGGAGTCGATTCTGGGCGTGGCGCTTGCAGCACTGGAGCAGGAGCATTGTGTGGCGAAGGGGGATCTAGCAGAGAAGGAGCGAGAGCTTTGCGTGATGAAGGGGGATCTGGCAGAGAAGGAGCAGGCGATTGAACACTGGCAGGAGAAGGAGCAGGCTTGGACGTGCGAGGAAACTATTCTGGAGGAGGCCCTTGCCGCACTGGAGCAGGAGCTTTATGCGGTGAAGGGGGATCTAGCAGCAAAGGAGCAGCAGTGGGTGGGGAAGAGGGGAGGGATGGATGCACAGATGGCAGCTCTGCAGAAGGAGCTGGCAGCAGCTAAGGCTGACGTGGACGCTGCTAACGATGAGCTGGCAGCAGTGAGGAATGAGCTGGCGGCAGTGAGGAATGAACTGGCGGAGAGGGGTCAGGAGCTTGCGGTAAAGGAGAGGGCATGGGCTGAGAAGGAGACGGCTTGGGAAGAGCAGAGGAAGGATGTTGAGGAGAGAGTGAGAGAGCTAGAGGGAAGCATTGCCTGTTTGGAAGGAGAGAGAGCAGACATGCAGCGCGAGTGGGGGTCCAAGGAGGTGGAGTGGACGGAGAGGGAGCAGCATGTGCTGCTGGTGCAGCAGCAGCAGGAAGAGGCAGCAGCAGCTGCCTTGTCAGCCGAAAAAGCAGCAAGGGAAGAGGCGGAGTCGCAGGGGCAAGCGTGGCTGGCGCGGGCCGAAGCAGCAGAGCAGAGAGAGAAGGATTTAAAGGAGGAGATGGAGGGTGCGGTGAAGGAAGGGGCGGCCAGGCACCAGAGGGTAGTCAGGGACTTGACTGAGGCGCGTGGGAAGCTGGATACAGTCACCGAGCGGTTGAATGCGGTGCTGGGGGAGAGGGATGGGTTGAAGAGAGAGCTGGAGGGAATGAGGAGGGAGTTCGGCAGAGAGAGGGACAGGTGGGTGAAGGAAAAGGAGGGTTTGGAGGAAAGGGTGAGGGGTCTGGAGGAGGAGGGATGGGAGATGAGGGGGTGGGTGGAGAGGCTGCAGGGGCAGAAGGCGGGGTTGGAAGAGACGGTTGGGAAGCTAAGGGATGCGAATGTGGGCTTGCAGCAGGCGAATGGGCAGCTAGAGGCGAGTGTGGGGCAGCTTGGGTCGGATAACGCGCAGCTGAGAGCAGCTGTGGTTCAACTGGAGGGGCAGAAGGCGGGGTTAGAAGAGACGGTGGGGAAGCTGAGGGATTTCAATTTGGAGCTTCAGCAGGCGAATGTGGAGCTTGAGCAGGCGAATGGGCAGCTGATGGGGGGCAATGTTCAGCTAGAGGCGAGTGTGGGGCAGCTGAGGTCTGCTAACGCGCAGCTGAGAGCAGCTGTGGCGCAGTTGGAAGGGGAGAAGGGGGGGTTAGAGGCGGAGAGGGAGGAGTGGCGGGCGGAACGGGAGAGGTTAGTGGGGGAGAGGGAGAGGTTAGTGGGGGTGAATGCGCAGCTGAAGGCTGTGGTGGGGAGGCTGGAGCGGGAGAAGGAGGAGGTGCGCTGTGCGAATGTGGAGGTTGAGGCTGAGTGTGCTGAGCTGAGAGGGGAGAGGGGAGAGCTGAGGGCCGAACTAGCACAGGCTATGTCAGAGAAGGAAGGTGTTGAAGCAGCGAAGGAGCAGCTGCAGGAGGATCTGATAAAGGCTCGGCTAAAGAAGGAGGAGGTTGAGGCGGAGAGAGAGCAGCTGAAGGGCGAAATGGCACGGGTTTTTTCAGAGAAGGAAGAGGTTGAAGCGGAGAGAGAGCAGCTGAAGGGCGAACTGGTACAGGTCTTTTCAGAGAAGGAAGAGGTTGAAGCGGAGAGGGAGCAGCTGAAGTCGGAGCTGGAACAGGCTCAGACAGCGAAAGGACAACTCGAAGGGGAGAGGGAGCAGCTGCAGGGTGCACTGGCACAGGCTCTGATTGAGAAGGAGGAGGTTGAAGCAGAGAGAGAGCAGCTGAAGGGCGAACTGGTACAGGTCTTTTCAGAGAAGGAAGAGGTTGAAGCGGAGAGGGAGCAGCTGAAGTTGGAGCTGGAACAGGCTCAGACAGCGAAAGGACAACTCGAAGGGGAGAGGGAGCAGCTGCAGGGTGCACTGGCACAGGCTCTGATTGAGAAGGAGGAGGTTGAAGCAGAGAGAGAGCAGCTGAAGGGCGAACTGGTACAGGTCTTTTCAGAGAAGGAAGAGGTTGAAGCGGAGAGGGAGCAGCTGAAGTCGGATCTGGGACAGGCTCAGTCAGCGAAGGGACAACTCGAAGGGGAGAGGGAGCAGCTGCAGGGTGCACTGGCACAGGCTCTGTCAGAGAAGGAAGAGGTTGACGCAGAAAGGGAGCAGCTGCAGGGTGATCTAATGGAGGCTCGGCTAGGGAAGCACGAGGTCGAAGGGGAGAGGGAGCAGCTGAAGGGCGCACTGGCACAGGCTATGTCAGATAAGGGACAGATTGAAGCTGCAAGGGAGCAGCTGCAGGCAGCACTGGGACAAGCGGATACAGAGAAGGAACAGCTCGTGGCGGAGAGGGAGCAACTGAAGGCAGGAATGGGCGAGATGGAGAGAGAAATCAGCCAGCTGAGGTCGGAAGGAGAAGTTCTAGCCGCAGCCAAGGGAGTGCTGGAGGCGGAGAGAGAGGTGTTGCTCGTTGGTAAGGCTGAGCTGGAGACTGATATAGAGGAACTGGAGTCTGCAGGCGTGGCTTTGGCTGCAGCTAAGGGGGCGTTGGAGGAGGAGAGAGAGGAGTTGCTAGTTGGCAAGGCTGAGCTGGAGAATGAAATTGGTCAGCTTAAGTCTGTAAATGAGGCTCTCGGTGCGGCTAAGGAGGGGCTGGAGGCAGAGAAGGAGGGTCTGCTGGTTGAAAGGGCGGCGATGGAGAAGGAGAGGGGTGGTTTGCTGGAGGAGAGGGAGGTGCTGCAGAAGGAGAAGGCAGACTTGGAGGAAAGAATGGAGAGGGCGGAAGGGGAAATAGAGGCTGGGGAGCAGGAGAGGGGGAGGTTGCTGGCTGAAAAGGCTGAGCTAGAGAGGGAGAGGGGCAGACTGCTGGAGGAGAAGGAGGTGCTGCAGCATGAGAAGGCTGAGTTGGAGGATAAGATTGAGAAGGCGGAAGGGGAAATAGTGGCTGGGGAGCAGGAGAGGTCGAGGTTGGAGGAGAGGGTGGGTGCTCTGGCAGGGAATAGGGAGGAGCTGACGGTGAACCTAGGGGAGGTTGAAGCTGAGAGGGCTCGCCTGGTGGAGCAGTTGGGATACCTGAACAGAGAGAGGGAGGCACTGCTGGGTGAAAGGGAGGAGCTGAAGGTGCAGCAAGGGGAGCTGGAGGCTGAGAGGGCGGCTCTTGTGGAGCAGAATGGGTCGTTGCAGGCAGAGAAGGGCGTGCTGCTGGGTGAAAGGGACGCGCTAGTGCACGAGAAGGCAGCCGTGGAAGCTGTGAGGGATGGGCTGAAGGTGCAGCAAGGGGAGCTGGAAGCTGAGAGGGCGGCTCTTGTGGAGCAGATGGTGGGGCTTGAGGGGGAGAACGCCCTGCTGCACGAGAGGGTGTCGGCTCTACAAGGGGAGAAGCAGACCGTTTTGGAGCGGTGGGAGGAGCTGGAGGAACGGTTGAGAGGAGTAGAGGGGGAGAAGGCACTGCTAGAAACTGCATTGGCTGAGCGTGAGGGCGATGTGAGGCGGCTAGAGGATTCAGTGAAGGAGCTGGAGCGGGCGAAGAAGGCGGGGGAGGAGGAGGCCAGTGCAATGAAGGTGGAGCGGTCGGAGTTAGTGACCACCCTGCTGCAGCTGAAGGAAGCCTTGAGGGAGCGCGAGGGAGATGTGAAGGGGTTGGAAACTGCACTGGCGGAGCGCGTGGGTACTGTGAGGCAGGTAGAGGAAGCTTTGAGGGAGCGCGAGGCCGCTGTGAAGGGCCTGGAAACTGCATTGGCAGAGCGTGAGGGCGCTGTGAAGCAGCTAGAGCACGCATTGGCCGAGCGTGAGGGCACTGTACAGTGGCTGGAAGGGGCAGTGGAGGAGCTAGAGCAGGCGAAGAAGGCAGGGGAGGAGGAGGTGAGTGCAATGAAGGTGGAGCGGTCGGAAGTGGAGGCCTCACTCCTGCAGCTGCAGGTGCGGAAGGTTGAGCTGGAGGCAGGGCTACAGCAGACGAAGGAAAGGGAGGTGGGGTTACAGGCAGGACTGCAGCAGCTGAAAGCAGAGAAGGAGGAGCTGGAAGGAGTGATGCAGGAGATGCGGCGGGAGGGGGAGAGGAAGGAGGAGGAGTGGGTGGCGGTGCAGAGGCAGATGGAGGATGGGGTGAGGGGGAAGGAAGCTGTGTGGAAGGAGCTGGAAGGGAGGCTGAGGGGGGAAGTAGAGGAGAGGGAGGGGCGGGTGGGGAGGTTGCAAGGGGAGGTGCAGGGGCTACTGGCACAGATTAGTGAGGAGAAAGAGTATGCTATGGGACTGAAGGAACAAGTGAATGAGCTGGTGGTGGTGAGGAGCCAGTTAGAGGAGCAGAGTGAGGAGGATGTGAGAGAGAAGGAGAGGTTGGGGGAGAGAGTGAGGGAGTTGGAAGGGAGGGTGGCGGAGGTAGAGGAGGGGAGGGAGAAGGTACTAAAGGAGTGTGAGGATGAGCTACAGAGGAGGGGAGAGGAAGTGAGAAATATGAGTGAGGAGATGAGGAGGATGGGGGAGGAGGTGAGGGAGAGGGAGAGGGAAATGAGGAGGCGGGAGGAGGAGGTGGTGGCGGCGGTAGAGGCGGAGAAGAGAAGGGTGCGGCAGGAGTATGTAGAAAGGGAGGTGCGGAGGGAGGAGAGGATGGAGCGAGAGATTGCCAGGATCCAAGCTGCTGTGCAGGAGGAGAATCAGACGCTGAGGCACAAGGTGAGAAAAAAATGCTGAGGCACAAGGTGAGAGCAAGAGACAAATTATGAGTGATGTCTCAGAAGAGACAGGCTGAGACAGCAAGATCCAGGCTGCTGTGCAGGTGGAGAGACGCTGAGACAGAAGGTGAGAGAGCCTGGGGAACCAATGGCGTTTCTTGCCCTTCTTTATTCATCACTAATTAAGTCCTTGTGAAGGGCTGTAAACATCCTCTTGTATTCTCTTGGCCTGTTTGTGACATTGTAACGAGGTGACTTTTGAGTCGACTCAAAAATCACCTATTCTCATGGCCTGTTTGTGACATTGTAACGAGGTGACTTTTGAGTCGACTAAAAAATCACCTATTCTCATGGCCTGTTTGTGTGCTCTGCGTTTTCCCTGCATCTTTCTCACTGCTGCCTGTGGAAGGTCTTGAGCAGAGGCAGGAGGAGATGGAGCAGAGGGCTCGAAGGGAGAGATTTCAGGCGCTTAGAAACAGCACTTGTTGCCTTCCCGTATGCTCTGCCCTGTGCCCTTCTTGTGTTTCCTTGCAGGTGGAAGCTCTTGAGCAGCAGGAGTAGGAGATGGAGCAGAGGGCTCAAGGAGAGAGTTTCTAAGTGCCTCGACATTTCACTTATCGCCTGCTCTGCCCTGTGTCTTCTGCGTGTTTCCCTGCAGGTGGCTGGCCTGGAGCAGAGGCCGGAGGAGATGGAAGAGAGGATTCATGGAGACAGTCTCCAGGCGCCTCAACCAGCACTTGTTGACTTGGTGTGTTCTCTGCAATCGTCCCTGCGTTTTTCTCTTGCTCACTGGTGGAAGGTCTTGAGCAGAGGCAGGAGGAGATGGAGCAGAGGATTCAGGGGGAGAGTTCTGAGGCGCCTCAGATTAAACACTCCCTGCTTTCTTGTGTGCTCTCCCTGTGTCTCTTCCCTGCAGGTGGAAGGCCTGGAGCAGAGGCAGGAGGAGATGGAGCAGAGGATTCAGGGGGAGAGGGAGCAGCTGCAGGAGAGCCAGAAGCAACTTCAGGCTCTGGAGACCCAGGTGAGCCCTTGGCCCATTTGCTCCTCGTGTTGCTGCCGCCTTTCAACTCTCCTTTCTCACAAAGACTTTTGAGTCGACTCCGAGATCAGGAGAGCCAGAAGCAGCTTCTGGCTCTGGAGAAACAGGTGAGCCCTCTGCCTGTTAGCTCTTCATATTGCTGCCACTTTTCGATTTTCCTTTCTCATACCGTCTTAAGGCTCTGGAGACCCTGGTGAGGGTATCGTTATGTTTGCCTTTTCCGCTGCCTCAGTTGAGCTCTCTTTCTCAGACCAGCCCCAGCCCCTCTTGCACTCTCCTCCCATCCCAGCCCCTGTCGCATCCATTTCTTTTTTGCCTTAAACCTCAGCGAATATGGCCCTCTTGCTTTCAGAGCTTGTTACACAGCGTATTTGAAGTGTCACGTCTCTCCTGTCCTGCCTGCAGCTTCTCGCTAAGGAGCAGCGGATGCAGGTGGCTGAGCAACAGCTTCGGGCCGAACGCGAGAGGATGGCTCGGGAGCAGCGGCTGATTTCGCAGGCCTTGTTTGACGCGAACTTGGAGCTGATGCACCGGTCAAGAAGCTCTTCCTGAGTGCAACTGTGATACAAGGAACACATAACCTAATAGCTTGTTAAACTTTGATCACTGAGGTTGTTACACTCTAATTTCCTTGCACCAAGTGGTTGTGTATGCATCTTGGGGGCTGCTATTTGCTATTCTTTGGCCCTGCTAGTCGTTTTAGTGGCACTAACGAACCATAATTCTATCATGTTGTGTAGTGTTTGAGCTAGAGGGGTTGGTCTGTGTCAAGAGACCCACTGGCTGGGGTCGTCCTACATAGAAGATCATCGGAAGGGCCACAGGCTGCTATGCGTGGGGGACTATGGGGTGCTGACCCGCTATTGCCCCTTTAGCTCAGTGGTTAGCGGCTGTGTTTATGAGAGTCGGGAAAGTGTCATTATATTCGTTTACTTCTCACGAACTTAAAGATTTCTGGTTTGACTCATAACGAGCACAATCCACCCTCCATCTCCACCTGATCATCCCTGCTGCACCAGAAACCCACTGCTTTGCTGTTCACTTTCGCTCACCTCCCCCATCTTCCAATTCGCGCGTTTCGCTTCTTGTTTCGTTGTGTCGCTAGGTATCGCCATCCCCCAACAGGTGGCTGCCAGCCTGGTAACCCGTTTCGACCCGCTTCACTCTCCTTCCCTTGGCGCCATGGCTGGAGTCAGAGATTCAACAAGAACTCCCAAGTTGGATCTCAGCGATTTTTGTTTCACTGTTATTTCTTTGCCTTGATCCAAGCCTCTTCAGTCTCCTGCTGCTTCGTTTGGCTCGAACTAGGTCCGCGGGCAGCTTACTTAGGCTCTAACCAGGCCAGCCGGACCAAGTCGAGACAGATCAGCGGGCAGTAGGCATGCGTAACAGCAGCAGCTATGCTCGGTTCGTCGGGTATTGCTAATCCCAACTCTCTCGCTGCTAACGCTGGCTCTACCACACCAAGAATTCAATCGAGCCAGTTTAGCGGAGAAATGGTCTCTATTTCCCCGCATGCATGTGCAACAGCAGCAGCCATGGTCGGTTCGCCGATTCTACAGGGTGCTTTGAGAAACACGCAGCAACTGTGTTGTGTTTTGTTTTGTAGATGTAAAACAAAAGACAACATAGCTGCCATGGTCGGTTCGTCGGATTCTGCTATTCCCGTGTCCCGACTGAGCGAGTTGAGCAGCTTTTTTTTCTCTTCCAAAAAAAAACCAGCTCAAGTCACAGATAACAGATTCCGGTCCGGAGGTTCCTCGCCACCCACTCGTTTCCATTAGTACTGTACCCAGAGAAAGGAAGGGGGGAAACTTAGCAACTTCTCTTACAGCTGAATCCCACGCTCGGGGGAATGGGGGGTTCAGCTGAACCTCACGCTCCCATGCCGCTAAGCCGTCGTGCCTCTTCGTGCAGTTCCGCAGCTTGCCGTTACAACTGACATGGAGCGTGGCGGTTGCGTTACGTTACAGTCCAACTACAGTATCATGTCCTATTTGCGGTGCTGCCTCCCTGCTGTTGCCTTCCGGCATACTTGCTGCTGGCTCAGTCACGATTCACACACGCGAAATTCGTCGTAATACCACCCAAGTGTGCTTGACAACCGCCCAGCCAAAAGGCGATGTTGGCCTGGCGAAGAGGCGACGGCCTCGCGAAAAGGCGACTGCCTCGCGAACGTCGCGAACGACTCATTCTGGCATCCTTGCTGCCGCGAGACGTGACCGGCCCATCCGTCAATCTCGACGAGACCCTGGCCAATCACGTCCCGTCTTTCGAGTCAGTCCTCGCAGCTCGCCTTACCCCGAGCAGGCGTCAGCGAGACAATACCAAAATAGTATAAAGAGCGCCGGGAGATTCTCATTCATAATCCATTCTGACATCCGCCGGGGTCGTCACCAGTCTCAATGTTTTGGCTCCAGGAGTAATACTCTCCTCCACTCGGCGAAGGACTCATCTATCGGCTCTTCTGGCCCGTGCTACCGTCGCCTTTGAGCCGATTCAATAGAACGTCTCCTCCTGAGACGATGGCGGGAGGCAAAGGAATCTCGGCGATCGCCATTCTTCTCGTCGTGCTCGTCCTTCCATCAGGTCCGTCAATTCCCTTGGTGTCTTGATTTTAGGGGGGCCCCAATACAGTTAGAGACGTCTAAAAGCTCCTTCCACCGGAAAACCCCTTGTGTGATGATTCTTGAGGACTCTCAACGGGTGGTGAGACGCCTCAAAACTCCTTCCATCAGGTCTGTCAATTCCCTCGTGTCTGGATTCTTGAGGGTGTGAGTGTCGAAACGTCTCAATACCCTTTCCACCATCGATTCCCTTGTGTCTTGATTCTGAGGCGCCTCAAATGCTCCCCGTCCGTTGCGCTGCGTTGCGTTGCATTGCCCATTCTTCTACAGAATGCGTGCTTTGAAACGAATGCATCGCTGAACCTCGTTATGAATTTACTATGCGTGCATATCTAACCGCTGTCCTGTACCCCCCTGCTCCACCCCGAACCCGCTCCGTGTGTTGTCTGGCTGCAGTCATGGCTCAATCTGAGCCTCCTGCTCCTCTCCCAGCGCCAGACCCCTCCCCGCCGCCTCCCCCTGGTTTCGAGGTACCTACTTTGCCTCCCCCAGTGGTCGCCTCCCCGCCGCCTCCTCCTGGTTTTGAGGTGCCCACTCTGCCTCCCCCAGTGGTAGCCTCCCCCCCACCTCCCCCTGGTTTCGAGGTACCCACTCTGCCTCCCCCGGAGGTAGGCTCCCCCCCACCTCCCCCAGGTACAGCCTCTCCGCCTCCTCCCCCTGCGCCTGGAACTCCAGTTCCTTCTCCCTGCACCCCAAGCGCCGCCCGTGCCCTTGGCTGTGTGACAACAACGGGGTGAACCAGCTGTGTCGGCTCAACCGGGTGTGTGCGGACGACGAGGTGTGCATCCCCTATGTGAGCAGCTGCGAGGGATACAAGTGCATGAAGCTGTTTCAGTTGAGGCATTAGATGAGTTGGCTTGCTTAATTGGAAAGTGTGCGGATTAGAATGGTTTGTGCATCCCCTTAGTGTGCCGTGTGCAGGCTATACGTGATTGAAGTCTAATAGTGGCGCTGTACGCCTATCGAGGCAGGGCGGGCACTGTGCAATCCATTTGTGAGCAGCTGCAAGGGTTGTCTGGTTTTAGATCTAATTCCTGAAGGGCATGGCCCATGTATTTGTATAGAAAACACCTATGTAAGTTTCTTGTGTCGAAATAAATCGTTGCATCATTTTGTCAACTTACACATATGCTGTATGCAGAAGTTATAGGCTAGCCTAGGTGTGTGCTTCTAGTGAGTACAAGCCCAACATGTACATGTTCTAGGTTTCTCACACTAGTCCATTCATTCTCTCTTTCTAACAAATTTCACTATATATTGTTAAAATTATATAAGTTATGATTTAATATAGGCTTGGTAGGTTGTTACTGAACCTTTTAGTAGAGGGTACAAACCCCTCCTTGTATGCCTCTCTCTCACTACTCCAAACCACTTTTTCTCTCGACATTCTCTCCCCCGCAGTGCTGATCTTTGGATTTTCACTACTCTGAAATCTGGAAGTTACTTTCCCCACTACACTGAAAACCAGAGTGGTCCTCCACATTTACCCTGAGCCATCAGGGTAACCCTATGTTTTGGAGTTTTTTACTTTGACAAGTCAGGGTGCCTTAAGTTCAACCTCTTAATAGTGTGTGTTATTAGAGACCGTGGATCTAGGGGGGCAGGTTCTCTTGAAATTAAATATAGCATTATATTCCTTCATTCACTCATCAGCATCATCAGCATCATGCCATACACACTACTAGCAGCAGGCAGCTAAAAAAATTGACATTCGTAACTGCGGCAGCTGCAGAAACTTGTCACCTGTAGTAGTAACTGATGCAATCTCACCCTGCGCTGCCGCTGCAGCAAGCAGCAGGAACTCGTTACCCACAGCAGCAACAGCGGTGGTGGCGATCCTGCCACACACACATAAGCAATGTGAGCAACAACCGTGTCACTGGTTGCGTTAGCAGTGACGGCAATCTCTGAAAATCGCAGCACTCGCAACTAACACCAGCAGTTTAATCGGAAATTCCGTCACTTAGCAGCAGCAGCTACGATCCCACTATGCACAGAAGTAGCAGCGGCGATCGTCCCATGCACGGCAGCAGCCAACAGAATTGGCGTCACTCGTAGTAGCGGCAGCAGTAGCGGAAATAGTGGCTACACGTAGCATGTGATGTGGTGTGGTATGTTCTGCTTGTATGGTAGCAGGGTTGTTAGGGCATGGCACTTAGCGAGCGCCAGGGGCTTTGATTCTTCCCACCACTGACGCCGTCATCGGGATCAACCGCGCTAGGCATGGCGGACCCTGATTATGAGAGAGGGCGTTTGCTGAAAAAACGACGAAGAGGAGGAACGAAGATACGCGAATGCTGTGAGAGAGGCTAAAGTGGGGGAGTGGGGCTAGAGAGGGCTTGGAAAAAGGGAGGCGCGAGGAAAACATGCCAATAGGGATCATGGAATCTGCCATCAAGGGCGAGACATGCATCATGTGATGTGGGCCAGCTGGGCGGTCCGCGTGAATACGGCGGGGATATGGGGCCACATATGTAGACAAGGGGGTACACGAAAATCCGGGGGTATATGACGTGGGCCAGCTCGGCGGTCCGTGTGAACAAGGGGCATGTATGGACAGGGGGGTACAAGAAAATCGGGGGGTATCCCCCTTACAGTAAACCCCTCAGGGTGGTACAAAAGAAAACCCTGGCTTATCAGAGAAAATGTATAATCTCAAAAATTTACCCAGAGGCGTAAGGGTGGTACACAAAATCAACTCTGAAAATCAGAGAATCAGAGAAATTTACTCGTGAAAAATAGGCACTGCTCCCCCGCTCCTAGATCTACTTTCCTCACGCCATTCCATGGCGGCATTCCTAGTATCCTAGCTAAGCTAGTGTCGTAACTTTAGGAACCTAGTCTCCTAAGTTTCTGAGATATATATGCATAGGCTAACGATATCATATTTTGCTAATTTACTACATTTTGTTTTGGCTTTGGCCGTTGTCTCCTGAACTCATGCATTATTGCACATTACCTGCATGATTTCACTTTGATACATCACATGCTTATAGCTGGAAAGAACAGATTCCGAATCTCCCATTTCGCGCCTTTCACTTTGTTGGAAATACCTCGAAGACTTAAGCGTTTTTGAAGTATAACACTACACTCAAAATGTCGTATCGAGTACACAAGTCAACGGAGGTTACACGTGGAGGTTGGATGAAAGAACGCGAAGGGACGAAGGGACTCGAAGGGTTGCAATCGGAGGTTGCGACCGACCGTTGCGACTGCAAGGATGAACCAACGATCAAGTCGCTGTGCGACTCGATAACCGTTTCTTCAACTGTATTCTACAAACTGCTCTATTTCCTATTCTCTATATATTCCTGTATGCTTGCCCTTTTTAATCAATCACTTGCTCTCACATACTAGTGCAGGGGTTCAACTACTCAACTCTTCCGCTGCACTACTCAAGCATTTCATACAGGTGGGACTTAGGGCGAATTCCTACGAACCAGGATCAGAATCAAGTTGGATCAGAATCATGCGGTACTGTGCGGTGCGAGTGTTTGAATCGCGTTTCAGTGTGGTTTATTTCAATTACACACGTTTCTGATTCTGATGCAACTTTGTAGGAATTCGCCCTTAGTCTTTGAAAGGATCCTAGGGCTTTTTCTCAGCCCAACATGGTATGAGAGCTGGTCAGAGACCAAACTCCCATCAACGACATTCTATCTACAGTCTGCACATCAGAACTTCATCGATTACAAGTCATGGATAACAAGGGCAAGAAGTCTTCTACGGGCTCACCCAGCAGCCAAGATACTCAACCCGGCATCTCTGGACTACACACTTCAGGACTACAAACTGAGACCGGCGCTGCTCAAGAAACAACAGGAAGAGTACAAGAAATGGTGACCCCTTCACCCTCTTCAGGCGTGGACCCAAACCTTATGGAAAGGTTCTTCAGCTTCATGTCGCACTTTGACCAACAGCAACAGACAAGGACACCTGCGCATTCAACACAGAGCAACGGGGGAAATATGGGATTGGCACCGATGAGTCTCAACAATTCATCATTCGGGCGGCACAATCAGGCGCCTACCTTTGCGCCTTATCATTCTTCACCAGGGATGTTCGAGTTCATGCCGCCCCGTGCTAAACCGACAGCAGCTGCATCACAGCAGACACCAAACGAGATATTGAGTCTCCAGGCGCAGTTTTCACATGTGATCAAACTGCAGACATCCTCATCGTTCAACGGGCACGACTTATTTACCTAGAGTTTTGAGTTCGAGCTGTTGATGGAGGCCGCGCACCTCTTGGGATACTTCAACGGGTCCCTGCCATTTCCAAGCAATGGCACTGCAAAGGAGCATCGCAAAAAGTGCAACGTTAGCGGATCGTTTACGCCATTCGAAGCTGGCCGCATAGTCGGAAATCGTCCGCCAGGTGTTCGCCAAGTGTTTTTTTCCTGTTTCGTTTAACGTAAATGGTTTGCGAGTCTTGCGCGAATGAGTTGTTTCACGAATGAGTTGTTTTGTAAATGTTACACCTTGATAATAATCTTGTTCTGATGGCTTATATTTCCATACAGAATCGGTCAGTCTACACTAAAACCTGTACAAAGTTTATAACATCGATCCGGGGAAGCTGAAATGTTAAAATAAACGAATTGTGTGTTTATGATATTTTTATGATAGTAAACGTACTACTACTTCTAATTTGGGCAATGTCTTTGTAGAAACAGCAAGTGCAAAGTAAGGTATTGATCTCTTCAAGAGATGGTTTTATTTTGTTCCCCTCAAGATTCGAACTCGGATCTTCCAACTGTGCTACGTGCAAAAATTACTCAAAAACAAGGTTATCCCAGGGATCGAACCCGACTCTTCACATGTGTAGATTATGATTTACTATCTGTACTGCGTATCTACTTTATATTAAATGTTTTAAAACGAAATATTTAAAATTGGTTTTGTTGCTGGTTTCACTACCCTGCTTCCAACTGCTTATAAGGTCGTAGTCCAACAGAATCGCGGTTCCGAATCCAGCTGGACAAAATTTTGAGATACCGAACTGAACCAAATTGAATTGCAAATTACAGCGTATTCTAGCGCGCGCGTAACCTGAAATCCAGAAATATTTGCTTAATATTTGTGTACATGGAAACACGCCCCGATTCACAACATGACGTGCATATAGAAACACGCCCCAACCACACTCCCACCCCCTACCATACCTGCACTTTGTTCCAACCAATCCCAACCCAATTTCCCTAACCAACTCAGCCCATGCACCTCGCCCAACCAATCGAAATCGGCCGAGCGATTCCAGCACGGCTAAATCCAGCTCAACCCCCTGCTCGCCCCAACCACCCAGCCCACCACGTTGCACACTTCACATGCCAGCAATCCTTGCCAGCACAGACTTCTGATCCTTCCTTATCTGCCCCCTTGCGCCCACTGATGTCTTTCAGGTAGACTTTTCTTACAGTATTATTCATCGGCAGTTCAATCTGTATCAGTTTCAGCCCCCCCTCTTGCCTTCGCACCCCCTTAGTGATTAGCTTCTTCCTCTGCCAGACTTTAACCAGTTACCATGGTCGTTCTTGGTTTACGATAACATGAGTATGTCATTTCGCGATAGCTGTTATTTCTATCGTTTTAATCTTCTGGTACTAATTAGCTTGTAAGTGGCTATTGTTGTTCACAATTGTCCTTCTTATTGGCAGGTTCATGAGCTAATACGTCTTCGGGGTTGAAGGCATTTGTTAACTGGAGTTTCTATCTAACTATGTTTTGCCTGTGTGCTCACGATGCTCGTCTTTATCGCAGCTAGCCATGTAACTCAGTCCAGCATAAAGATTATTCTTCCGGTAAGCACGTCTCTTAGTCTCGCCAATCGTTTATTCGTCGGACTAATTTCACGACAATGTCTAAGCTGACGTGCAGAGATTTGTAGCCAACCTTGAGGCACCCCTCGTAAGCCTCGTGTTGAAAGTCTGGTTGTTTGGAATTCAACAAATGGTTGAACCTGATGCGCAGGAATTTATTACCAAGGCCGCGCTACTTTCCCATAGTAAGAATTGTTATTATGTTGGTAATTTGGACATTGGGCTTACTTTGAAATGAATTCTTACTTCACATGCAGGAATAGCAAGTCGGCGTCAAGAATTTACGTTGTCGGCA